TGAGGAAAAATGGGGGGGAATGGGGGGGAAAATGGGGATAAAATGGGGAAAAATGGGGGGAAAATGGACAAAATGGGGAAAATGGGGGAAAATGGGGAAAAATGGAGGAAAAATGGGGGGAAATGGGGGGAAAACGGGGAAAAACCCACAAAAAATGGGGGGAAATGGGGGAAAATAGGGAAAAATGGGAGAAAATTGGGATAAGTGGGGGAAAATGAGGAGAAAATGGGGGGGAAATAGGGAAAAAACAGGGAAAAATAGGGAGAAAATGGGGGAAATTGGGGGGAAATGGGAAAAAATGGGGAGAAATGGGGAAAATTGGGGAAAAACGGGGGGAAATGGGGGAAAATGGGGAAAAATGGAGGAAAAATGGGGGGAAATGGGGGGAAAACGGGGGGAAAATGGGGGGAATATGGGGGGGAAATGGGGAAAATGGGGAAGGAGGAAACGAAAAGATTTGGCACATTAGCATAAAGGGGTGTGGTTTTACTGCTTTGGTCACACCCCCCTGCTTGACCACACCCACAACTACACAGGTAATTGTGCTTCATTAGCATAAAGAGGTGTGGTTTGATCTGGCCACACCCCCATGTGTGACCACACCCACAGCTCCCATATATGAGCACTCATTAGCATAAAGGGGTGTGGTTTGCTATGGTCACACCCACATGTGTGACCACACCCACAGCTCCCATATATGAGCACTCATTAGCATAAAGGGGTGTGGTTTGCTATGGGAACACCCCCATGTGTGACCACACCCACAGCTCCCATATATGAGCACTCATTAGCATAAAGGGGTGTGGTTTGCTCTGGTCACACCCCCATGTGTGACCACACCCACAGCTCCCATATATGGGCACTCATTAGCATAAAAGGGTGTGGTTTGCTCTGGCCACACCCCCATGTGTGACCACACTCACAACCCCCATATATATGGGCACTCATTAGCATAAAGGGGTGGATTTACATCCACAACTGCCATATATGGGCACTCATTTACATAAAGAGCTGTTGTTTATTGCAGCCACACCCCCTCATGTGTGGCCACCCCCACACCGCCATATATGGGCATTCATTAGCATAAAAGGGTGTGGTTTGCTGTAGCCACACCCCACTCATACATAAGCACTCATACAAACCCCATATATGGGAGCCATATTAGCATAAATGGGGGTGGTTTATTGGAGCCACACCCTTCATACATGACCACACCCACAACCCCATATATAGTCATTCATTAGCATAAAGGGATGTGGTTTGTTTCAGCCACACCCCACTTATGTGGCCACACCCCCAACACCCAAACATAGAAATCTCATTAACATAAGTGGGTGTGGCCTGTTGCAGCCACACCCCTCACATGCAGCCACACCCACAACCCCATATATGAGCATTCATTAGCATAAAGGGGCGTGGCTTGGTGTCACCACTTCCCCTCACCTGTGACCACACAAACCCCACATACAGGCACCTCATTAACATAAATGGGTGTGGCCTGCTGCAGCCACACCCCTCACACGCAGCCACACCCACAACCCCATATATGGGTATTCATTAGCATAAAGGGGCGTGGTTTGTTGCACTCCCATCTCTTCATGTTCCCACCCACAACCCCCCACCTATGCCCCCTCATTAGCATAAAGGGGCGTGGCCGAGGCACTCACCGCCCCCTGGTGGCTGCAGGCTGTCGGGGGTAAAAATGGAGAAAAAATGGGATTTAAGGAGGATTTGTGTGGAGTTGTTCCAGGAGGTCACCTGAAAATGGGAAAAAATGGGGAAAAATGGGAATAAAATGGGATTTTTGGGGGTAAAATGGCGGAAAAATAGGATTTAAGGAGGGTTGTAGGAGCTCACCTAAAAATGGGAAAAAACAGAGTGAAAATGGGAAAAGATGGGGTTTGGGGTTTGGGGTCCCCGTGGTGCTGCTGGGGAACTCCAGCTCGGGGGGTCCAGGGCGGTGACGCCCACCTCGATGGAGCCGCTCCAGGAATTCACCTGGAAACGGGGAGAAAAAGTGGGATTTAGGGGAAAATATGGGGAAAATGGGGAAAAAATGGGGTTTTTGGGGGGTAAAATGGGAAAAAAATGTGATTTTGGGGGCTAAAATGCGGAAAAAATGAGATTTACGGGGGTAAAAATGGAGAAAAAATGGGATTTAAGGAGGGTTTGGGTGGAGTTGTTCTAGGAGTTCACCTAAAAATGGGAAAAAATGAAAAAAAATTGGGATTTTTGGGGGTAAAAGGGGCAAAGAATGGGTTATGGGATCCAGCGTGGGACAGAGATCTCAGCCTGAGAGAGCCGCTCCAGGAGTTCACCTGAAAATGGGAAAAAATGGGGTTTTTGGGGGGTAAAAGGGGGGAAAAAATGGGATTTTGGGGGGTAAAATGGAAAGAAAATGGGAGTAAATGGGATTTAGAGGAGATTTCGGTGGTGTCGCTCCAGGGATTCATCTGAAAATGGGAAAAATGGGAAAAAATGGGGTTTTTGGGGGGTAAAATGGGGGAAAAAATGGGATTTTTGGGGGGAAAAATGGAGAAAAAATGGGATTTAAGGAGGGTTTGTGTGGAGTTGTTCCAAGAGTTCACCTGAAAATGGGAAAAAATGGGGTGAAAATGGGAAGAAAATGGGATTTTCAGGAATAAAATGGGTAAAGAATGGGTTATGGGATCCAGTGTGGGACAGATCCCAGCCTGAGAGAGCTGCTCCAGGAGTCCCTCTAAAAATGAGAAAAAACTGGGGAAAAATGGAAATATGTGGGAATTAGAGAGAGTTTGGGTGGAGCTGCTCCAGGAATTCACCTAAAAATGGGAAAAATGGAATAAATGGGGCGGAAATGGGACAAAAATGGGAAAAAAATAGCAAAAAACCTGGGATTTTTTGGAGATAAAATGGGAAAAAATTAGATTTTCTGGTGTAAAATGGGAAAAAAACGGGATTTAAAGAGGGTTTGGGTGGAGCTGCTCCAGGAGTTCACCTGAAAATGGGAAGAAACTGGAAAAAAAAAAGAAATTAGAGAGGGTTTGGGTGGAGCTGCTCCAAGAATTGACCTGAAAACGGGAAAAATGGGACTGGAAAGGAGTTTGGGGCTCCTGAAATCCCGGCCCAGGGAGCGGCCGTCCCCCAGCACCGAGCAGCCCTCTCCCAGTCCTCCCAGTTCCTCCCAGTTCTCCCAGTTCTCCCAGTTCCTCCCAGTTCAGATGGGGTTTGGGGTTTGGGGTCCCCGTGGTGCTGCTGGGGAACTCCAGCTCGGGGGGTCCAGGGCGGTGACGCCCACCTCGATGGAGCCGCTCCAGGAATTCACCTGGAAACGGGGAGAAAAAGTGGGATTTAGGGGAAAATATGGGGAAAATGGGGAAAAAATGGGGTTTTTGGGGGGTAAAATGGGAAAAAAATGTGATTTTGGGGGCTAAAATGCGGAAAAAATGAGATTTACGGGGGTAAAAATGGAGAAAAAATGGGATTTAAGGAGGATTTGTGTGGAGTTGTTCCAGGAGGTCACCTGAAAATGGGAAAAAATGGGGAAAAATGGGAATAAAATGGGATTTTTGGGGGTAAAATGGCGGAAAAATAGGATTTAAGGAGGGTTGTAGGAGCTCACCTAAAAATGGGAAAAAACAGAGTGAAAATGGGAAAAGATGGGGTTTGGGGTTTGGGGTCCCCGTGGTGCTGCTGGGGAACTCCAGCTCGGGGGGTCCAGGGCGGTGACGCCCACCTCGATGGAGCCGCTCCAGGAATTCACCTGGAAACGGGGAGAAAAAGTGGGATTTAGGGGAAAATATGGGGAAAATGGGGAAAAAATGGGGTTTTTGGGGGGTAAAATGGGAAAAAAATGTGATTTTGGGGGCTAAAATGCGGAAAAAATGAGATTTACGGGGGTAAAAATGGAGAAAAAATGGGATTTAAGGAGGGTTTGGGTGGAGTTGTTCTAGGAGGTCACCTGAAAATGGGAAAAAATGGGAAAAAATTGGGATTTTTGGGGGTAAAAGGGGTAAAGAATGGGTTATGGGATCCAATATGTGACAGAGATCTCAGCCTGAGAGAGCCGCTCCAGGAGTTCACCTGAAAATGGGAAAAAATGGGGAAAAAATGGGATTTTGGGGGGTAAAATGGAAAGAAAATGGGAGTAAATGGGATTTAGAGGAGATTTCGGTGGTGTCGCTCCAGGGATTCATCTGAAAATGGGAAAAATGGGAAAAAATGGGGTTTTTGGGGGGTAAAATGGGGGAAAAAATGGGATTTTTGGGGGGAAAAATGGAGAAAAAATGGGATTTAAGGAGGGTTTGTGTGGAGTTGTTCCAAGAGTTCACCTGAAAATGGGAAAAAATGGGGTGAAAATGGGAAGAAAATGGGATTTTCAGGGATAAAATGGGTAAAGAATGGGTTATGGGATCCAGTGTGGGACAGATCCCAGCCTGAGAGAGCTGCTCCAGGAGTTCCTCTAAAAATGAGAAAAAACTGGAAAAAAAATGGAAATATGTGGGAATTAGAGAGAGTTTGGGTGGAGCTGCTCCAGGAATTCACCTAAAAATGGGAAAAATGGAATAAATGGGGCGGAAATGGGACAAAAATGGGAAAAAAATAGCAAAAAACCTGGGATTTTTTGGAGATAAAATGGGAAAAAATTAGATTTTCTGGTGTAAAATGGGGAAAAAACGGGATTTAAAGAGGGTTTGGGTGGAGCTGTTCCAGGAGTTCACGTGAAAATGGGAAGAAACTGGAAAAAAAAAAGAAATTAGAGAGGGTTTGGGTGGAGCTGCTCCAAGAATTGACCTGAAAACGGGAAAAATGGGACTGGAAAGGAGTTTGGGGCTCCTGAAATCCCGGCCCAGGGAGCGGCCGTCCCCCAGCACCGAGCAGCCCTCTCCCCCAGCCCCCCGCTCCCCTCACCTTCCTATCGATCCTCACGGTGAAGACGCGCCCGGGCCTCAGCGGCTCCCGGCTCAGCACCAGCCCGTGGTTGAACTCCTGGCCGGGCTGGGCCCTGGCGGCGCTGCGGCCGCCCTGGGACAGCGACACGAGGCGCCCGCAGCGGGGATGGAGCTCCGGGGGCGGCCCCGGGGCTCCCCCCGAGGCTCCCCCTGAGGAGCCCCCGCCGGGCCCCGGCGCCGCCATCGCTCCGCGCCCGCCCCGCTCCCGCCCCGCCGCCAGCGCGACGCTTTCGCGACCTTTTCGCGACCCTTTCGCGGCTCGGCGCGCTTCACGGCGGTGTGGCAGAGGTTTTGTTTAGCCCATTTTTTCCCCACCAAAAGCGCTCGGCGATGCCCCTCCCCTCCCTCTCAGCGTTCTCTCCGTCCTTCTTTCCCCTCCCCCGCCCTCCTCGCCCTCCCCCACCCCGCTGGGGTTGTTCCCCTTCCCGCTTTTCTCTCTGGCAGCGCTTTACGGCAGCCCCTCAGAGCGGCCTTCCTCGCTTGACGGCGGAGTGGCGGTGGCCCTCCCTCACACCCCTTCCTCGCTTTACGGCAGACGCCCCGGCAACGGTTGCCATGGGGACGGGCCCTGCCTAGCAACGGCGCTCATTAAGGAGGGGCGTTAATTACGGGCCGCCGGTAATTAGCGCCGGGGGGTCCTGGGGAGGGGAATAAAGCGGCGGCGAGGAGCTGACCGCCGGTACCGCGCGGCGCGTGGGGTGTCCTGTGATTACTGCGGTAATTAGCGCTAATTAGGGGTAATTAGGAGTTAATTAATTAAAAAAAGGAGGAGCGGCGCTGTCCAGGGTCTGAAAGGTTGAAATTAATGTTAATTAGGGTAATTAGGGGCATAGCAGTACTGCATCCCCCGCAGAAATTCACCCGGTGTTTTCCCCTGAAATTTTCCCCCAAAATTCCCCAAAAATTCC